GGGGGGCGCCCCCCGCCGCGGGCAGCCTCACCACGGCTTGCGGAGGTCCCTCGTGGGCAGTTGTGAGAAGAGTTCCGGGCACCTGGGGGTGCGGGGTGGCAGCGATGGCCGTGGGGAAGGGCCCTTGGTCTCATTTTAGATTCTACTGAGTGCCTCTTAAGTGCCTCTGCATGCTGTAGAAAACGGCACAGGAAGTACGTCCTTCACCAAACAGCCCTGACCTGCAGCCAGCCCTGCTGCTGGTTCCCCTCCCCGGGGCCGATGGACAGGCTCCCCCTCACCTTCGAAGTCCACTCGCCCATCTCCATTCAGGTCGACATCTCGTATGATGTCCTCTATATCTCGGTGTCCCACTTGCTGCCCGAGGAGCTTCTTCATAGCTTCTCGTAGTTCGTTAGTACTGATTTCTCCGTCTCCATTGGTATCGAACTGCAAAAGGGCATCGGGGGGAACCAGGGTTGGTTCGTCTTCCAAACGCTTTCCACAGAACTCGCAGCTGCTCCCAGCCCAACCTCAGCCCGCTTGGCCAAAGTCGCTTTTGTTTTACATCCCACGTTTAGTGAGCTTCCCTTGAAAGTGGTGTGCCACAGCAGCATGAAAATGCAAGTGCAAATTGCGCATTCGGACTGGGACCCAAGAAGAGGGAATTCCCAGGGGAGGGATCAGGAGGGGATTCTCCTGGGTTCCGCGTGGAAGCAATGGCAGCTAGGAAGCAGGGCTGCGCCGCTCTTCAGATACGGTCTCCAGAAAGTGCTTTGGCGTGTGGGGAAAGTGAACCTGGCTCCTGTCTGCAGCAATCTCGATCAGCCCCCCGTTTTCAAGTGTTGCAGGACAGGCGCCACGTCCCTATTCCACGTGCTATGAAGCCCTTTTTGGAGATTCAGTCTGAAGCGTGCCTCGCCCTGCCAGGAAGGAAACGGGGATGGAACAGAAGCAGTGACAACAGCAGAAGCACTGCCATCATTTCCAGCAATCAAGTAAGAGAAAAAAACAACTCCAAGAGAATTTGGAGAGAAATCTTGGGGTCCCCCAAGAATAAGGCAGGAAAACAGAAGCCTCTCTCAAGGAGGAAGAAAGAAACAGAAATGCGAGGCAGATTTTGCAAGGCAATAGAGCAAGTGGTTCCTCACCTCCCTGAAGGCGTCCCGCAGCTCCTTGACCCCAATCATGTCCGCTGTCTCTGCCAGAAGCTTGGGTCCCATCAGTTCCACAAAGTCATCAAAATCTACATGGCCGCCCACTGGGGACATAAGGAGGGAGAATGTGCAGAAGGCATTTACAGCTGAGCCCAGACTCCGATCACACCATCTGGACGCTACGGAATGAGCACAAGCGGCCCCACACCGAGTTGAGAAGGCAGCATGCGCTGAGGGACTCCATGCAGCTCGGCCTGTGCCTGAAAGGGCACAGAAACAGTTGACACCTCAAAATGGACGGGCCGCGATGCCAGTCGGGGCCACCGCCCGGCTGTTTTGCAGCCGCTTGAGAGTACAACCTAATCTACGCAGACAGCAGGGGAAAAAGTATTTTCGACGGCAACTTCCTACTGGAAAAAAAGAATGTAAAACATTAGGCTTATGATGAGTCCGTACCGGAATGTCGTAAGCAGCCACAGCACAAATGTTGACTGACTGGCAGTGCCCACTTAAAATAAGCCGTAGACCTGAATCTGCAAGGCTCTGTTATTTCTTCCAATCATATTTTCAATCTGGATTTCCTAATTGAAATAGACTCGGCGTCCTGCTTTCTTCTGCCTGACGCTGCACACATTCACGCAACCTACATTCCCAGCGCGCCAGTTCAGTGGAATAAATCGGGGCTGATGTATGTGCACAGCCCAGCGCGGAGCGAAAACAAGCAGCTCTGCATTCAGAGCTGACTCACGATCCGAAACGTTCCCAGCCCAGTCAAATTTGCGGCTGTGACGGGCACCAGGCCCCCTGGCGTGGGATGCCCGGCTGGCTTGCCTGAGCGGAGGTTGGAAAATATTTTTCTGCAGAGGGACTGGAAACGTCCTCGTAAACGCCTGACAAGCAGCCAGAGGGAAGGAATGCCTGCGGCGCCGGCTGCCCCTTTCACGGCCGATCACAGGGCAGGCGGCAGGATTCTGCGGCCAAGGGGCGCAACGGGCAAAGGCCGCTGACTGGGGCAGGAGCAGACGGCGCGGCCTGGCAGTTCGGGCTTGGGCATGCACGCACGCACATGCACACGCACAGCCTGGGGACCGTTACAGCTCTCAGCGCGGGAATTCTTCTTTCTTGTTACGTTTCAAGACGGCAGCCTGACTGGACGCGCACAAGTGTGTCGTTTTCTTCTTTTGCGTAACTTTCACATAGTAGGTTATTTCCCGAAACAAAATGATGCTTCTTCCCGAACAAGGCGTCTGGTGGTTCAAGGCAGCAGCGGAGGACTGTTAAGCCAGCCTAAAACTCTCCGGCTGCCTCGCCGTGGCTGCTTCACCACAAAACGGTTGCGGTTACCCTTCTAGGGAGAAAGGGCAAGGCTATCACTGGACAGTCGTGGCTAGGCCAACTGGAACTGATTTAAGCCAACATGGCCTGGTTTCTGTTCCCCAGCAGGGCCGGCCTGCGGAGGCAGGAGCCCTGGAGGAAGGGACCTGGAAGAGACGCAGCAAAGCGGAAAGTCGGCGATGCGCGCGGGAGTCACGTTCACTTCCCATCTGGCCTTTCCGAGGGAGCCGTGCTTGGGGGAGAGTGCTTCTGGTCGCCTTGCTCTGAGTGAGCGGGAGGATGCGCGAGCGGCTAGGGGGGCATTCCCCACCTTCCTCCCCAACTGGCGCCCCCACGGTTTGCAGACTCCCAGGCTGGAAGGAGCGCCTCGGCCCAGCCCCACTCAGGGCAGGAAGCCAAGCAGAAGCACCCCAGGCAGGCGGGGGTCCAGCCTCTGCCGGAGCACGTCGCGTGAAGCAGAGCCCACCACCTCTTGGGTCAGACTTTCCGAGCAATCCTCGGGAATCCGATTCTGCGTTCTGTGCTCTAAAGCAGCGCTTCTCCACCCTAGCGACTTGAAGATGTGTGGACTACAACTCCCAGGATTCCCTAGCCAGCATGCTTTAAGACATGTGGACTTGAACTCCCAGCATGCTGGCTGGGGAATTCTGGGAGTTGCAGTCCACACATCTTCAAGTCGCTAGGGTCGAGAAGCACCGGCCTACACTAACAAAAAACTCGGGGGGAGTCTGACTTAACAGATTTTATCAAAAGGCATAAGCTTGCTGTTGCTGTTTCGATTGCTCTAAATCCTTAGCATGTGGGATAAGATGATGATGATGATGATGATGATGATGATGATGATGATGATGATGATGATGATGATGATGATGATGATGATGATGATGATGATGATGATGATGATGATGATGATGATGATGATGATGATGATGATGATGATGATGATGATGATGATGATGATGATGATGATGATGATGATGATGATGTCCCAGAACTGAACACAGGACTTGAGGGAGGTCCAACCAGTGCAGTAAAATGTAAATTATCCCTTTCCATGATTTCAAAATGATGGTTTGAGTGATGCCACCTAAAACGCAGCCGCGCTCTTTGCTGTAGATTCAGAGATTCATGTAGCATGGGATTATAAGCTAAAATGGAACAGGCACTTTGTGGTTCTGCACCCTATTTAATACTATATTGTATACTATACAGCAGTATTGTCCAAACTTGGCCACTTTAAGATGAGTGGACTTCAACTCCCAGAATT